TCACTGCTCCCACATAATACATTGTTTTTTTCTCTGGGTATCTTTCTGGATGATTTTTGTGTAACCATTGTGTTACAATTGCCTATAGTACTGAGTGCAATAACATGTACCATGCTGTACAGGTTTATAGCCTAGGAGGAATAGGCTATCCTATACAGCCTAGGTGCGTAGCAGGCTATACCATCTAGGATTGTGTAAGCACACACTATGATACTCACATACTGCCACAAACTGACACATTTCTCAGGATATATACCTGTTGTTAAAGTTCACATGATATATTCATGTATAGATTTTTTTCAGTTTATCCCATTTATGGTTTACTAAAATTATTAAATCTATGAGCATTTAACTTTTACCAAATTTGGTATATACAATTATTTCTTCAAATATTTTTTCAGCATGTACATGTTCTCCCCTCATTCTGGGACTCCAATAACAGAAATATTGGACTCTGCTATTGTCATACATGTTTCTGAAGATCTGTTCTTTCTTCTTTTGAGTAAGAAGGAGCTATCTTTTGTTCTTTCGATTGTTCAGATTGAATAATTTCTATTGATCGACCTTCAAGTTCCTTGTTATCTTCATTGCACTATTGAGCTCAACTAGTGAGGCGAAATTTTTTTTCTTGGTTATTATAATTTTAAATTTTAAATTTTCCCTTTAGTTCTTCTTCATACCTTGTATTTCTTTGCTGAATATTTCTATATCCCGTTTATTTAAACAGTGTTTGTGATGCTTGTGAGAGCATTGTTATAATAGCTCTATAAACATCTTTGTGAGTTCCTTCGAACATCTGCGTCATCTTTGCATTGGCATTTATTGATTGCCTTTTCTCACGCAAGTTCTGATTCTTCATATGCTGAGTAATTTTGGACTGTATCCTGAACATTTTGAACTATAACATAACTATATTTTGAACCACTGGGTCTCTTTTAAATTCTAAGAAGAATTGTTAGTCTTGCTGTTTTAGCAGACAATAGACCTGGTTACATCCAGGCTGCAAGTTCTAACCCACCTTCAATGTGCTTTGATTCTCGCATTGACTAAGTTTTCAAAGCCTTTGCAGTGTTATTTGAGTCTGACTAGTATGTGCTGACCTAATGGTCATGTGACAACCTGGGAAGTTGTCTACTTATTAATTCAGTTCGTATCATCTTTGGTATTCTGATTAGGATCAAATTAGTGCATATGCAAGTAAGAGATGATCCCAGGAGTTCATAAACAATGTCAAGGATTGCTTTGTCAAGATCTTCTCTCTACAATCTCTACAGCATTTTCCAGATCCCTGGGGCTCCTGCTTTAGTCATCCCACTCCCCAGCATAGTTTCAGGGCACAGGCCATGCAATAAGAGGATGGAGGGGGAAAAAAAAGCAACAGGGATTCAATCCTTTCTTTGGGATCACAGCTCAGCAATGAAGAAAGTTCCTCTTTCTCAGAGTTGGCTCCGGCTCATCTGCTGTTTCCAATACAGGATTACTTGGGGACTGGGGCATAAGAAAATGGAAAGAATGGGGAAATAAACTATTTCCAGACTCCTCTGACATTACAGCTTACTTTTTCATGTTCTTTGCTCCAGGAATAAAGAGCATTTCCTGGATATCTGTTGCATTGCCTAGTGCTCACTTCCAGGTTTCAGGTTCAACTATACTCAAGTGAAGGAATAACTGGAGAAAAAAGCTGGTAAGTTTACTGCCAGTTAGAGGTACTTCAAATTCAGGTGTTCTCCCCTAAATCTCTTATTATTTACTTTTCAAAGTATTTTAATACGTGCTCCATGAATCCATGAAGCACGTATTAAAATACTTTGAATTCTATCCAGGTATGATCACCATGCCTGGGGTAAGAGATAGGGAAAGGTATGTTTACTCTATCCTCCCCAGAACCAGAATCATCACATCTAATTTTCATAGATGCCATTCATTAAATGCATATGAGCAAGGCCTATTCTAAGTGCTTTACTTCTCTAACGCTTACCAAACCCCCAAGTTGTATATAGGTATAATTATGTATTATAATCTTCATTTTATACATAGGAAAACAGATGCTTAGAAAAGATTAAGGACCTTGACAGAGTTCACCTGCCTAATGACAAGACTTATAGTAGGCTTTAAACATTATACCTTGGATATATTATATTTTGGAGCAGGTAGTCTAAAAACCTGCTCCAAAATTACCTACCATCCTTCTTAAAATTGAAGTTTCCTCTACGTCACCCAGACATAATAAAGTAAAATCTTTGGGAATTGGGCTAAAGGACATTCCTATGCATACTACATTGAGAACTAATGTATATTCTCTCCAAGAAAAGAAGTTTTCAATCTACATTACTTTCAAAAGGATGTCAACATTCAATACTTCACACAGGAATAAACATTAGGCGTGGCATCCATCAGCTTAATATAGCTTACATATGTTCACTTTCCTACTTTGCTGTATCATGAAGGAACATGAAGTAGGACTTGTCATGAACAAAGTTCATTTTATACACAAGAAGATTATCTGGACCCTCAGAATTGAACCCAACATTCTTGCTCCCACTCCAACCTTTTACAGTGAAAGCTCACTAATTCACCTCCTCCCCAAGAAGTATCAGTCAATTACTATATCAATTCTATTTTGGAAAGAGACTAGGCGTAAGTCAATTCCACTCATTTGTCACAAGCAGTGCTGCCACATTTCTCCCCAGGAAGTAAAGCTGCCCCATCTTTTCTGATGGAGCATTCTTGACAAAAGAATGGTTTTGAGGGGCTCACTGTGAACAACTGGGAACCTCATCCTCTATAAGCCCAGTTTGAATAACAAGGCTCTAGGTAATAAATAAATCTGAGTGAAAAAAAAATGCTTAGAAAAAATCCACACACTACACATGACTGGGAAAGGAGGAAACCCTTGCTTCAGAATGGAAGAATAGAAGATTTTTCTTAGGTAAGAAGGTTTTTAGGACAAGTCTACATGTAAGGACATAATTATAAAGATTTGAAAAAGTCAATCAGATTGCAACATTCACACAGGATGCCTAGTTAATAATGTAAATAACTCAAGAATGCTGTACACATAAATCTTCTGAGAATCTCAAAGAGTTTTATAGACATTGGCTTAATGGCTCATAACAGGGATTATCATTCCTAACTCACATATGGAACAAGCAAGGTCAAGTGTGCCGTTCTTAAGGCCCTCTGATAGTCTCCTTTATAAAAAATGTGTTATAACACACCATAACAATAAGTCATATTTGAGTACTAAAACTTCTGGCAAATATTCTGCTTTGAAATAAGAACCTTTGTGGAAAACTGTTCTTATGGATATTTATGAGGAAATTCAAAAGTGCTAACTTGATCTGCAGTAATGAATCAAAACTAAAAAGAACTCAGTACAGTTATTTTCAAAAGTAAAGAGTATGTCAACCAGTAATTTTCGCTGCCTGGCCCTCCCACCCCCAACCCCACCACTTTCTGGAGAAAGAAAACTCCAAAACATATGGCCCAGGAAGAAAATCTGTACTCGTTTATAGCAATGAACTGGCTTTTACATCTCTGCAGTTAGAGTACGCAAATGACTTCACAGGCAACCGCTTCCGTATGTTTCATATTTTTAACATTGACCGTTCATAATAAAGATTCTTTGATCCCAGATCAAATGTTTGAATCGATTTTCCCTACACTTACTCAGAGTCACCATTTAAAAGGCTCCCCTCTTTCCCAACTCAGATGCTTCAGCCCTTCCTGCAATCAGAACCATCTCCACCTGTCACCTTCTTCATGGTCCTTCCCACTCCTTTGCTGTGGTTTTTAGCTCTGCTCCCTAACTTATCATAAGAGACACAGTAATAAATATTTTTTTGTATATAATAAGTTAACTACAACAAATGAGATTCAGAATTTTATAGGCATCTTTGATTACACAGAAAGCTCATGGCAAAATTTAGTACAAAAACTGATTGTCTCTAAAAAAAATTCTCAACAGGTAAGGCCTTTGGATATACTTAAGAAAAATGAAAATGAGATTCGATTCCTTGGATTGAAACCAGAAAAAGTGAACAGACACCAAAGGCCTAAACAAAACACCAAAGTCTTGATAAATAATTTAAACATCAAATTTTTTTAAAAAAGGAAAAAGCCTAGTAGGCCAGGTGCAGTGGTTCACGTCTGTAATCCTAGAACTTTGGAGGCAGAGATGAGCAGATCCCTTGAGGTCAGGAGTTCAGACCAGCCTGTCCAACAGGGTGAAAACTCATCTCTACTAAAAATACAAAAACAGCAGGGTGTGGTGGTACACACCTGTAATCCCAGCTATTCAGGAGGCTGAGGCAAGAGAATCACTTGAAGTCAGGAGGCAGAGGTTGCAGTGATCCAAGATTGTGAAGTCTAGTAAATGCTACAAGTTTAGAATAACCCTAAGAATAAATTATTTTAAATGACTCCAAGGCTCTTGTTTGAAGGCCTTGTTGAGAAGGAACAATTTTAATATAATCTTAATTCCTAAAACCTTAAAACATAAATTCTTCAGAAAGGTACTCATTAAATAAAGGTTAAATTGAAAAATAGTTTTAAATTTTCCAGTAGTAAATAAAATAAATATGGGAGTGACTTAGCTATATATGGGTCCAATTAACCTGATACAGTAAAAGAGAAAGAGAAGGAGGGAGAGAACAAAAGGAAGAAAGGAAGGCAGGAAGGGAAGGAGGAAGGGGAAAAAAAATTCCAGTGTTAAAAGTCCCTTTAAAAATGATTTGTTTCTTTTCCATTTTGTTTGGACTGGCAGGCAGTTCAAATTTTATGACAATTTAAGCTACTATGCTTCTTCATCTTAGAGTACAGATAGATACCACAAAAAAATAATGAATGTTAATTTGGACTCTGCCTTATCTTATAAACATGAAAATCCTATACTTTTAGGTGCCAACACAGGGGACCTAAGTTGGTTATGACCTGGGCAAAACCGAAATTTCCCTGGCTTTGTACAAGATCATCAACCAAACCCAGTAATTACAGATTACCTTGCACACGGTGGCAAACTGCTGGTTATTTCCCGCTCCAACTACAAGATGGCCATCCTTGGTTTTAAAAGCCTAAAAGAAATAAATACACAGGTAAATATTATTTATATGTTGACAAGACCACAAAAGTCGACTTTAATTTCTAAAATATCTATATGGAAAGCTTATTCTAAAGTGATGTTATTAATTCAATATCAATTGATTTGTTGTCCCCTTCATCTGTAATGACATAGGAGTGCCACCTGCCCTCACTTCCTCACCAAGAACACATTCTAGTGCCCTCTGTCATCAGGATGCTTATTATCACACTGAACTATACTTTTTGACCCCTCTATTATTTGGTACTGTTAACCATTTCTTCCTTCATGAACCTGTCTATCTTGAGGCTCTGTTCAGGTTCATCTCCTAGCTCTCTGTTTCACACATACCCTGTCTGCAGAATGTTCTTCTCCTGGTCTTCAGCATTCCTTAAGCACCTGTCTTTGGTCTTTCATTTCACTTGCTTCTTATGGTAGCCACTAGCCATAAGTGATCATTAAATTTAAATAAACTAAAATTAAATTAGCCAATCACAAAAGGCCAAATATTGTGATTCTACTTATATGAAATGTCTAAAATAGGTAAATCCATCAAGACAGAAAAAACACTGGTGGCTGCATAAAGCAGTGGAAGCTGAGGAAAGATGGGGAGTGATTGTTAATAAATAATGGGTTTCTTGTCAGGATAATGAAAATATTCTAGAACTGACTGATGGTTGTATAACTCTGAATACACCAAAAATCACTGAATTGTGCACTGTAAATGAGTGAATTATATTCCAATAAAGCTGTTATTAACAATTAAATTAACAATTCAGATCCATAGTCACACTAGCTAAATGTCAAGCATTCAATAGCCACATGTGGCTAATAGCTATTGTATTAGCCAGCACAGACACAGAATATTTCCATCACCACGTAAAGTTCTGTTATACAGTGCTGGTAGAGCGAAACTGGGAGACTGTATTCATCATGTCTTAATCTTAGTCTTCGTCATCCTACCAGACCTACAGTGATTTCCAAAGAATGTTAGGCAATTAATACATAGTTGGTAAATGATAATGAATCAACCAAAGGATTGCTTCCAGGTAATACAATGGTAGCTAAAATAGATCTCAAGTAATATATTATAACAAGGTTTTATTCTATTTATATTGTTGCTTGATTTGGTAAGGAATGCTATTAAGGAGATATCACATAAACCTTAAACATTCTCCCTTGTCCATGAGGGCAAAAGTAAAGTTAGTGTCAAAAACAACGCATTAGTGTTTCTCAAACTACAAAGAAAATCTGCAACAAAGCTGTGAGTGAGGTACAAAGGATTTTGAGCCAAGGTATTGCAAGGAACCCTTGACAACTGTGAACCTACACAGGTTGTCTGCTTGCTTTTTTGTGGAGAATGATGAGGTAGGAAGTGAATAAGTAAATATGAAGTCACATTCTGTGTTGGAATGTATAATGTGAAGAAAAGTTTTCCAAATTTTGGATCAGACATATTCAATAAGTTTATATTTTGTAGGGTGTTCATTTCCTTTTAGTAAGTGAAGAAGTGCATATTTTTTCCTGCCGCCTCAAACATATATTTAAATATATCTTTTATCAATATGAAAGTTTAAATTTTTAAGAAGCTTCCAGATAGCTGAACATGTGAAGGTTCCTGAAGGATGACATGCCCCAGGAGGGAACGGAAGCTCCATACCCCTTCCTATACCTTGCCTGACATATCTCTTCATCTGTATCCTTGTTAATATCCTTTATAATAAATCAGAAAACATAATCGTTTTAAGCAAAGGTAACTAGACAATGATCACTGAAAAGTGAAGAACTCATGGCAGCTGAGCCCCAGAATATAATTGGACTAAAGACCATCAAATAGATTTTACAAAGATTAGGTAAGATTATGAGTTTTTTAAAAATAATTATTTGTTCCCTGTTGCTGCTACAGTATTTATTTTAAAAACATATTTTAAATAAGAACTTTAAAAAATAATACTTTATCACTATAGAAAATTGGGGAAGTACAAGACAGAAAAAAACTGCATGATATCATTACCCAGGAGAAGCAACTACAATATTAAGTAGCCATTCTTCTTTCTAGTTTATTTGTATATACTTTTACATTATTAAGGAAACTACCTTTGAGAGAAATATGACAGGGACCTAAATTCTGCTAAGATACGGCATAGTTAAATGATAACCAGCACTGTTCCTTTGCTTACCTTTCTATTAGGATTTACCATTTCAGAAAGATGTGTAACTTCCAAATTGCTCCTACAGATAACATCACTGTTGTCAAAACCTCCTAAGATAGGTCTTTAAGATATTTTTCAGACTTTGGCAAGACTTGGCATTCTGGTGAATGACCTGACTCTGATCAGTGAGTCATAGGAAGGAAGTGATACAACAAGTCCTGGGACCCCCACCCAGAAACTCACTCAGAGTACTAACATAATGTGGACGCTCCTAAGAATTCATCCTCAACCAATCAGTAGCACCCAATCCCTCTCCCCACCTGCCAAATTACTCTTTAAATCACTAGACTCCAAGTTGTTTGAGAGGCTGACTTAAGGAATGTCTCCCATACTTCCACTTTGTTGTCCCTGTGATTATTAAACTGTTTCTCTACTGTACCACTGATGTTTCAGCAAATTGGCTTTTATCTCTGTAGCAGGCCAGAAGAACTAGTCAGGCAATTACATGAATATCTTATTGTACATGAATTTCTAGACTGCATTTTTTTCATTTAACATCATATCACAAGCATTTGTAAATGTCATAGTTTTTAATGACACAAAATATCTTTTTCAAAATTTGCTTCAATATTCTAAGTTCATTTAAACTGGAGGGGTTTTTTTGGTTTGTTTTGTATTCAAATCAAGCCCTATTTCATATGTTAATATCACAAATTAAAAATTATTGAATTTCACACAAACTCTGAAGAAAATGTCTGGTCCAACTAAGATCCTTAAAAAGCCAACCTTGCCCCAGTAAGGCCTGGGGGATAAAATAGCAAAATGAATCCCAGCCAAGACACTTATTAATAATTAACCTATGCAATATCAGACAATTTACATAATTTAAGACCTGCAGTTTTCACATCTCTCAAATAGGACCGATCAGTACTTACCTTTAAAATTATTTTGACTAAGTTCATAAAGTACACTGATTCATGTATTTGGCAAATATTTGTTGACATAACTTACTATGTGCTAGGCTCTAATACAATGGGTAGACAATGACAAGACAAATGGGCCATATATTCTAATGAAGTAGCAGGTACTAATCAAACATTCACATAAATAATTACAAACAATGACAGGCACTGGAAAAGAAAAGTACAAAACTGAATGAGATCTTACTTTTTATTTTTTTAAAGAGACAGGGTCTCTCTCTGTCACCCAGGCTGGAGTAAACTGACATAATCCTAGCTAACTGCTGCCTCAAACTGCAGGGCTTAAAAGATCCTCCTCACATAGCCACCTGAGAAGCTAGGACTACTCAGATGGAGTCTCATTGTGTTGCACAGGCTGGTCTCAAAATCCTGGTTTCCAGCAATCCTCCAACCTCAGCCCCCCAATGAGATCTTGGGGTAGGTGGACCTAATGTTGTCTTGGTTGGGAGCTATGAAGCCAGTTAATAACTGTGAATTCTCACATCCCAGAGCTGAGATCACTTTTCTAGTGAGATCACTAGAACATTCTCAGCTCTGGGATGTGAGAATTCACAGTTATTAACTAGGTAAAGAGCTAGAGGAGTAGGAGGTCATTGCTGGCAGCAGGGAGAACTATTTGCACAAAGGACCTATGGTGGGAAGAAGCAACAGCTCGAGAGAGGAGAAGTAGAGTAACATGGTTGAAGATGCAGAGGTAGGCAGCTAGCCAGATGAAGTCAGAAGCCATATGAAATATTTTATTTATCATAAAACGAATGGAAAATCACTGAAATAACTTGCATGATCATGTTTATCTATGTGTATATATATATATAGAGAGAGAGAAAGGACTCTATAACTCTCCCTATATATAATTATATATATAATAGTATATCATAATTATCATATAATTACTGCTGTACTTGGTCCCACAAGAAAGTAACTCCTCAGTGAATTCTAAGCCCTTAGGTCTTGACTCCCAGGCCCTCACTAACCCTGCAAATCACACCTCCTTCTCTTTTCCTTATTCTGTTGGTTGCCTCACTCTAAAAGAAAGCAAACCAAGTGGTAACATGCCATGCGCACACACCACTAGCAGAGTTTTGATCACAGGGAGAGCTCAAACCATATGCAGCAAATTGGGCTGTAAACAGTCAGGACTGGAATGTGTCTTCTGTAAGAAATTCAAGCCTCAGGAGGAAAGAAACAATTGCTTCTGCATAAAATGATGTGAGGAGACAGCAACAAGGGCAAGTGTCAGAATTTTTAAAGGACAAGGCCAAAACCAAGCCTTGCCTCACAGGAGACCAGACTGTATTTCTCCTGAAGAAAGACATCCTTCTCACTAGGAGCTGTGCACATTCAGGGGCAACAAGATTCACTGATAGGGAAACCAAGCAGAAATGCACATTTTCGTCATATGCTCATCATAATAAACCACCTTTCCTGGAGAAGGAGATCTTTTTCAAGACTGAGAAAATAATGATGGGTCAAGGAATTTGATGACACAACAAAACTGAAGAACTTCATGATCAAACTGGGAGACACAAAAGGAGAAGGGCATGAAGGTTCCGCATTTAGTTTCTCTATTTAGAGCAGCTCCACACAGAAGATGTGATCACCCCTGAGACAGAAGATACAGAAGTGCAGACTATGGAGCAGATGTGAAGGCAGGGAATTGAGAAGGTCAATTGAGAATTTCTGTTGCTCCTGGAAGTTTCTACTCCTTCTCAGACACTTTACTTTCTGGGCTTCCAGGCATGTTAGCCTCATTTGATGACATCCTAATTATTAAGCTGACTAAGGATGAAAACATAAGAATTTCAGAAGCCCGTGTCAACACAGTATGTCACATAATCAAGTGGTAAAAGAAAAAATGTACA